GGGGAGAGGGTTGATTTTAAACTAGATGAAAGACCCACAATTTTCTAAAAATCAAGACTCAATTACAGCATTGATTTCTTACTTTTCGGTTGTTTTCCCCGACTTCACATCTGCACCCCCCACAAGAGGACTCCGGATCTCCTGTCCATGTTTATCTCAGTCACACATGAAGAACAGTTCATCCTCTGCATAATATTATGCAAGGGAAGATATTTCCAATTCATGGGGGATAGTGTATTGTGGGTAGGCATGGGCAAAAGATCCAGAGTCCCACAAGGGAGTGCCCTACAATGTCCCACAGCACATCTCCACTTTGTATTGGGAACATCTCCGGATAATGTCTCATCATCTCCCGTACTTGTTATCGGGAGATAGTAGGGGATGTGCTGTGGGGCGCTCCCTTGGGGCGCAGATGTGAACTCGTTTGACCCTGCAAAGTAGGGGCACCGCTAGTATAGTGGCAAACGGACAAGGTAAATCCCCCGCAGCTATACACCGGGAAACGGACGAGGCTAAGGGCAAGCAACGATGGCAAAAAAAAAGGTTGACATGGACAAAATCTGCTAAAGAAAAGGTTGACATGGACATGATACAAAAAAAAAAAAACAAAATATCTCCCGTGTTACAACTTGCAAGGTGGATTTTGGCATCACATCTCCTCTGCTTTATACCAACGAAGTAGTAGATTTGAGCACTCAGTCTCTAATCCTAACCAAGTGTGGAGAGTAGAACACCCGTGTTGCAACTTGTAATGCATACAAACTATCAAAGAAACTATCAAAAAATTTTCATTAAAGGAATACACAACCAGATAGAACAGAGAGCATACAAACTATCAAAGAAACTCAGCGATAGAGAGAGAGAGAACCAACAACATGATACAACATTAATCTCAATGGTGGAGAACTTATATGCTTTAAATATGTTGAGGGTATTGAGAATCTAACCTCTAGATAAATTTTCTCTTTTACTCATCAAGGAATCACTGATTGGACCAATCTTGTAAGGTGCCACCCAAAGCAGCGCCATGTTGCTTAATTATCCTAATTGACTGCAGCAGAATATCTTGCTGTGTAGAGTATAACTCCTCTTTGCTCTACAACCACAGCACATAAGAATTAGGACTTTAAAATTAATATGTAAAGAATTATGTATTGACAAGCATAGATTCAAGGAAAGAAAACAAAATGAATCCTTTAATACTCTGGACAGTCCTGAAATCATGGGTGGTGTAACATCGTTAAAGCAGCTTGTTTAGTCCCATGGCTTTTAACCATCACATATGACATTCCAATGAAGAAGGAGAAAATGTCACAATATCGCAATAGTAGACAATACATGTTCCACATTTACAAGCACTAAACCAAAAAGTAAAATCAGAAAAGTCAGCAAAGACACTGTCCAGTACTTTTTCAGGTGTCTACTCTCATTTAGACCTATATGAGCCTACAGTAAGAGAAAGGATCAGATTAAAAAACAGAACTGCACCATGAAGCAGAAAAACTTCAACCATCCTGAATGGTAAGTACACCTTGTGATACACATTATGAAATGTGAACCAATGAAAAGTAAATAGACCATGTGACATCTTTAACGTGATTGACTGAAATTTTGATTTAACATGCAGCAAACATTCGAAAGGCACTGTAGTTGGACCCTAAACGTTTATCTAGAAAAAAATAAAAATCTAAAAGTGGACAATGTTATTTATGGATAAAATATCTAATGGCCCCATTGGTCAAAAAATATCCAATTGCACTAAAATAAATTAGTGAACCAACATAACATGTATAGATTATTTCAGAAAGAAGACATACCATATGTTTAATATTGCACCCAACAGTTAATTCTGCATATGAATTTCCTATTCGAGAAAGGAAGCAGTAAGGAGCTTCCTTTTCTAAGAAGATTTTTGAGTTGGATCTTAGCATAGACTTTATATCCTCTGATATCTGAGGAATCATTTCCAAATTATCAATTCGCAAGGGAATCATGGTCACCATAGCACGCCAATGTGCACGTGATTTGTTCACAATTACCTGCAAGACCATCCGATGTTATAAGTTTCATTGTTCATAATACCTTTGGATTATGTGACAAGTGACAATATGCTACACCAAAAAAGTACACAGTTACACACAAAAAAAAAAAAAAAACAAATAAGTAGGGATCTGCTGTCTGAATTTTGTCATCATGAAGTCAGAAGATTAGGAATGTATTAAGGTCCACCAAATTTTCATTAGATATTTAGAAAATTTCTCAGTTAATTACTAGCGTCATTAAAATGCTAAGACAAAGTAAATTCATGTTCCATTTCATAAAAAATGGTAAGCTTGTATCATTACGTGAACATATAAATACTGCAAGATCTGAGTGCAAATGCATTTGTAAGCACAATAAGAAAGTTAAGCCACAAGAAAACCATTAGAAAAAGTAAAGGTATGTGAAGAATAGGGATGGGGAAGCAAGTAGACAGGTAGGAGGTCCTACAACTTTTAGATTTGGTGGTGGGCTTTGTGGGATGAAGGAAAGCCTTTGGGTGATTAATGATGAAGAATATGGGTGGGGAAGCAAGTAGACGGGTAGGAAGTCGTACAACTTTTAGATTTGGAGGTGGCCTTTGTGGAAATGTGGGGTGAAGGAAGGACTTTGTGTGATTAATGATGAAGTCATTTGCTAGGAAAGCTTGGGCCTGTTTTTCTAAGGTGGTGAGGAATTTGCTAGGAAAGCATTTGAGGAATTTGAAAGAAGAAAAAAGGAAGAGAAAGTGAAAAACAAAGCTCATTTGCAACGGAGAGGGGAATGGGACAAGGATTTTTCAACCCAAGAAGATATGCTCACAGTGAAGACTGATGCGGTTTTCAGGATGGGGAGCTTTGCTTTTGTTTAGTGTCGGGCTAGTGGCTCTTGTTTTTTGGGGATGTTTTTGGCCTGTGTTTTCGTTTTCCTTTTAGGTGATTGGGCAATGCTCATGGTTATAAGCTGCGGTTGTATTGGGCCTTATTGGGTCTTCTGAGTGGGCTCTCATGCTTTGGTGATATCTTATCACCTTCTGCTGTACTTTTTTATTTTAATGAATTCTCTTCATCCTTCAAACAGAATTTAATTTTGTTCCCAAATCTGGGTATACCCAGAAGTGCCTGCATTCTCTTGTCAAACATATTCAACCACCATCTGCTAGCACTTAAAAAAAGAGTCCATATAACCATCATATCATCAACTAAGCCAAATTGGTTCCTATCCCCTCGTATTCGTATCCTTTGCTATGGCTGTAGTGAGACTGTTGAATACCTATTAATCTCCTGCTCTTTTATCTCTTGTATTTGGGAGTGATTTTCGTCTCTCTTTGGTTGCAGTTGGATTCCTCCTACTGATGTTGCAAATCTTTTTGAAACCTACTACTTTAGACAACCAAAGAAAAGGGGAAGAATGCTTTGGAGATCTGTACGAGCAACAATTTTATGGGTGGTTTGGGAAGAGAGGAAAAGTCAGAGGAGGAAGGGCCCAGGTTGTAACTTGAGAGGATTTAGGTAATCTTACATTGAGACAAAGGGCAGATCACATTTCTCAGGGCCTAGGTTGTAACTTGATGCAAAGCAAAGGAGCACAGTATGCCCTTCACCAAGAAGCTGCACTGCCTTCATCTTTACAAGATTCCAACCATCTTGAGTTTGCATTGGGTGGGGCTTGCGAAAGTTTTGAACAGGCTTTAATTGGTTAAAGCATCGTGTTGTTTACACAAAGCTGTAGAATTTATACATTCAAGTCCTACATAGCATAGTTTTCAAGGTGCCATGGCGAAGCTAGGCAATAGGGGAGCGCCTTGTAGCCTAATCACCTAGGCAATGAATTTTTTAAAATAAAAAATATAAATCCTAGGGTAGATCCCTAGGTTTTCATAGTAATAAGTAGTGATCTTTAACTAATAAAGTAATAATCACCATATTTTCTCATGAAATAAGTATAAACCCCATATCAATAATAGAAAGTGAACATATTTATGAGTAAAAAAATAAAAAAAGGAAATAAACATACAAAACATAAGGGTTGAGCCCTTGTTTTGGTCCTAGGAAGAAGAAAAATAAGTCCTATTGATTGTTCTTGTGTGTCAATTAGATAAAATCTTCAAGTTATTTTTTATTTATCAATTCAGGTTTTAAAGTCCTAAAGGGTTCAAGAATGTCACTGCCTTGTGTCTCGATTGAACCCAAACAAATAAGAAAATAACAAAAAGAAACTAGTATAAGAATAACAATATTAATACTATAAACTCACAATATGAATAATTTAGTCTAATAATATCTATTGTACTACTATTAATAACATATAATAAAAATATAAAATATTGTGTGGTGTCTTACATATAAATATGTAGGCGTTTGGGTGAGGCAACCCTCCAAGAACACCTTATCGTCTAGGTGTTGCCGAGAAAACTATGCTGCATAGACTGAATTGTAAACTCTAAATATCAATACAGTCTCAAGCCTATAATATAATATATTACCTATTCAACATCAAATTCAAGGTTAGTTTATCAAATCATAGCAAAAATCCAAGTGAGGCATATTTTATCTCAAGTGATGCATGCCCAACAAAACTAGCCTTATCTGTGAGCCTAGAAATGGAACAATCCTAATCAAACTTCAACTTATTACTATCCCGTGTTTAAGAAGATGCAAGAGATGATACAGATTCAACTCAAGCAAGAAGGAATGAGTCTTTATTTTTCTTTTCTTATGTGCAGTACCATTTTACTTTGCAAACTGGTAGAAATGCAGCCCTCCCATTCCTCTTGGGGATGTCCTGCACCAAAGTTTTGTGTGCCAGAAAGTGTGTACTGTCTAGGAGTAGAATCTCTCTTGACTCCAAATATTAAGATATGGGGTGTTGACTAAGACGGAGCTGAAATCAAGTACATGAATGAATTGTACATTGACGAATAATTATGCAGTTTCCTAATAAGTATCCTATATTTGAAAATCTAGCTGCATTCCACTATTTATATTTGATATCCAATAAGAGGATCAACAAGGAAAAAATTGAACAATAACAAACTCAAAATGTAACACTGTTTAGAAACATACCAGGAACAGGTCAAATTGCACTACTTTGTAAAAATGTCCATAATGTATGCTGGGCAAATGTGCAACTAAAAAAATGGCATATGCAACACACGAATTTTGGAGAAAAAAACAGTACCGATTAGCATATTTTCTCTCAATATTATTTATCTATTAAATAAGATGCACTTATAGAAAATATGAATTATAGTTGACCATATTAATCCCAATAATGTGCTAGTGTTGGCTCCCCTGAAAAATTGTACTAAGAAACCATTGACCAGAAATTATTCACATGAAAGAAGAGACAAAGATGTAACCTGGCTTGAAAATAGGGAATTTGGAACTACGATAGGAAATTTCTCAGCATTAAGCAACGATGTAGTAGTAAGTCCCATTTCTACCACTTGTCCTTCTATTGACCCAGCCTACAAAACCAATCCACAGCTCAGGGGAAAGGATTTCTGAGTGCATGCATTCACACACACACACACAAATCACAACAAAGCAGCCAAATTTTTGATAGGGAATAAACTGACTTAGACCTTCTAATCTTACATGGCATGAGAAAGAAGCAAACAACCCAATTTATTTTATATGAATCTCACTGTCCTACTCAAACACAAGGTTTCAGATTGATACTTTATCAATAATAATTTAACCCAAGCCAACCAGCATTTTTTTATAAATAAATTAAGATTTCATCAAGAGAAAAAGAATTTGAGGTACAAGCTTTCCATGAAGAGGCGTGAGCTATGTCCTCTCCTAACAACAAGAAGAAACAGAAAACAGAAAACAAATTCAAACTAAAATTGAGCCCAATAAAACTTTTCCCTGTTTGCCCCTTGCTTTGCTAGGCAATCAGCCAAAGCATTTGCTGATATCCCCACCCATTGTATTCTTATAGTCAACTCCTTGTTAGCCACTAGAATTTTTTAATTTCATTCTTAAAGCACCTTACTATAGACTCTGGATTCTGTAGCCAATCCACTACCACCTTGGAATCCCTTTCAATTAGCAGCGGTTCCACACCTAGCTAAACTGCAAGCTGTACACCATGGCCGACAGCTAGCAATTCTGCCTTAGTAGAGTTCTCAACTCCTAGAGACTTTAGACCCATAGTTTGGTGAATAGCTTATATAAGAAAATTGCCAAGGTCTTATCTAGAAGATTTAGAGAGGTGCTTCCAGATTTAATCTCACAGAATCAAGGAGCCTTTGTGGGAGATTGACAAATTGTGGATCAAATTTTAATTGCCAATGAATGTGTGGAGGATTTGAAGAGAACAAGGAAGAAAGGGATTGTATGCAAATTGGACCTAGAGAAGGCTTATGATATGGTTGATTGGTCTTTTTTGATGCAAGTGTTGGACTGCTTTGGCTTTGGGAAGAAATGGTGCAACTGGATTTTAGGCTGCATTGAGACTTGTCATTATTCTATCCTGGTCATAGTTTTCAAGGCGCCAAGGCGAGGCTAGGCAACAGGGGGGTGCCTAGTCGCCTAGGCGACGAATTTTTTTAAGTAAAACCATATATCCTAGGGTAGTTCCCTAGGTTCCATAACCATCTTTCCTTAATAATTATTCATAATTTTCATAAGAAAAGTATAAGTTTCATGTTTAAGTCTAGAAAATCAACATTTTATGAGAAGAAAAAGAACAAAGTAAAGAAAATTAAAAAAATATAGGGGCTGAACCCCTACTTTTGTTATAGGAAAGAAGAAAAGAAAAGGTGAAAGAAGAAGAAGAAGACATGGAAGAAGAAAATGTGTTGATTAGACAAAATTTTAAGTTCTTCCTTTGCTTATAGGTTCCAAGGATCAAAATTTTGATACGATATGCCCCATATTGAGTGTATTGTATTGTATCTTTGGGGTCCTGATACCTGTTTACAGGTGTTTTTGGGGGGCCCATTTTTTCAATAATATATATATTTAAGAATAAAATTGAAAACCAAAGAAATAAAAAAAAAAAGGGGGAGTATCGTTATAAGTACCGATACACCTCTGCCAATACACAGAGGTGTATCAATACTGTGAACCATGGGTTCAATACAGCAGTTAGCAATGTTGCATTGATTATATACTAATAAAAATAAATTAGTATATAAACACATAAAATGAATATTCTAGTTTAATAATGTCTATTTTATAATTATAATGTCAAAAAATTAAAAATATAAAAGTATTTTATAACCCAGTGCACAAAACTGCTAGGCGACTGGGCGAGGCGAGCCTCCAAGGGCGCCTTGTCGCCTAGGCGTCGCCTTGACAACTATGACCCTGGTGAATGGAACTGTAGTGGATCACTTTCCAGCTTTAAGGGGAATTAGACATGGGGACCCCCTTTCTCCTTTCCTTTTCAATGTGATTGCAGAAGTGTTGGGGAGGTTAATTGAGAGAGCATATTCGAGAGGTTTAGTGAGGGGATGGAGAGTTGGAAAAGATAGTATACCTATAAATCACTTACAATTTGCTGATGCTTGTTTTGTGAGGGGGAGGATGTGAGACGGGCCAAAAACTCGAAGTTGGTGGTTCAAATATTTGAGCAGATGTCTTATATGAAGGTAAATTTTGGTAAGAGCTGTGTGGTGGGGATTAATATGGAAGAGACAACTATAAGGGAAAGGGCTGAAGCTTTGGGGTGTGTGGTGGCTTAATGGCCTTTGAAATATTTGGGGATGCCCTTAGTTGACAACCCGAAAAAAGAAAGTTTTTGGAACCCTATAATTGATAGGTTTTAGAAGAAGCTAGCCACTTGGAAGAAGAACTACTTATCTCTAGGAGGAAAGGAATGCCAATTTTTTTCTAAAAAGGAAAGAAGTAAAGAAGGTATTATTGAGGTCATAACAGTCAGGGTGGTGCATTGGTTAAAATCCTTATAGCTATTTGATGATGTTTCTATGGTTATGTTGTTGAACAACTGGATGGAAGTGGCTAACTATGCATCGGCTCGGTTTTTTGTTGCTCCTGTGTGATCACCTCCTAGCAATGGATTTATATAGTTAAGTTTTGATGGGAGTAGTTAGGGTAAGCCCTTCAGGTGTAGGGGGTGTCTTCAGAGATGGGAGGGGAAGTGTTAGCAATGTATTCATGCTCCATTGGGGTTGGGGACTCCCTTAGAGCTGAGATCTACGCTGTTATGGAGGGTATAAGAAAGAGTAAGGAACTGAATATACAGAAGTTAATTATTGAAGAGGACTCAAAGTTGGTGGTAAGCTAGTTACAAAGGGGAAGCAGACTTTGGAAGTATGCTAATGAAAGAAAGGAAATTAAGTGGCTAACTATGGGGATGGACATCCAATTTCAGTGGGTGAAAAGAACAGAAAATGCGTTTGCAGATGCTTTGGCAAAGCAGGGGGTGGGTAGGGATCATTTGTACTGGGCTGTATTGTGAAATGCTATGTTTGTTCTCTTGTAGAGAGTTGTCTTTTTAACCCTCTCTAGATTGTTGTACCTATCTCTTTAATCTACTGAAATTTTGTTATTGATAAAAAAAGGCACTGGATGGATTACCAAAACCAGATGAGGAGGATGCCTCACTCTTTTCCAAGTGCAATAGAAGACTCCAAAGTTTATCCTTCACGTCAAAGGAGTCATGAAATTAATTGGTCACATTACAAGATTGACCCTCATTACCAATTGTGGCCAAATGAGTATTGCCTTTCCTTCCAATTTTAAATTTGTCCAGTTTCAAGTGAGGATTGAGTTTCCAACATCTTTCCTTAGTATGCCTCAGCTTCTTGCAATATTCACAGATGACATCATCAGACTTCTCAGTAGTAGGATGCTTACTGCTGCCACTTGGCCTAGGCTTAGAGGACATAAAGGTAGAGTGCTCAATCACAAAGGGTTGCATCATGGCTGCCCTTTTACTTTCTTCCCCTTGCACAAGAGAGTAAGCAATAGCCAGAGAGACAATGCCCGCACTCAGAATATGTTGTCTAGTGAAATCAAACTTTGGATTTAAGCCAACAAAAAAGTTAAAGACCTAGTTCTCCTCAATGTACTTCATGTACTGCTCAGCATTTATAGGATCCTTCCACTCAAAAGTTAAATGATCCATTTCTTCCCAAAGAGATTGTAGAGAGGAGAAATACATAGCCACTGTTCTCTCCCCCTAACACATACTACAAGCTTCTCTCCTAAGCTGATATGCTCTAGCAGTATTGTGAACCTGTGAGTAAGTGGCGACAACCCTATCCCAAATATCTTTACCAGTCATGAGGAACATGTAGCTACGAGCAATGTGAGGTTGCATTGAATAGACCAGCCAAGACATTACCAGTGAGTTATCCTGTTCCCACTTTGCAAACTTAGGGTCTTCAATTTTCAGCTTCACCAATCACCTCCTTGCCTGTAATGAATCCCAACTTACCTCTCCCTGTGATTATAAGTTTAGCCAATTGGGACCACTCCAAAAAGTTGGTCCCATCAAGTTATACAGTGGTTACCATACCACTAGAAACATCAACATTTCCAAGAAACACCCTATAACCCATCTGTATATCTTTTGGTGATTCCATACCTCACAAACAACTATCTCTACAACTAAGGAGCACCATAACACCCAACTGAAATACAAACCCAAAAAGGAAGGGTCAAACTTGGTTAAACGCTAAAAAATGGGCCAAAAAGCTGGTTGGCGGTAAAATAGAGGGAGAATAAAAAACTCCCAAAACTTTTTTAAGGTTCAGAAAAATACGAGACCACTTCCCGTCATTCCCAAAATATAAAACAACCTGGAAGAACCAAGTTTTGCAGAATAAAATCAATCAAACAAGATAAACAAACCTCTAGACCAGGTCTGGAATTTCTATGATTTTTCACTTGAAAAATCCACAAAAAGTCATAAAAGCATCAAACCTCAACGAGACATATACCAAAATTCATCTAAAATCAGGGCGAATCAAAACCATACAATTTTTAGAGATTACCGCCGCCACCTGTACGGACTGCTAACATCATCCAGCAGCGGTCTGATGTCAGTAGCTCACAACCTATAGAGAAAGACTCTCCCACGACCTTCTAGTTGCTCTGATACCAAGTTACAACATCTAGGTTTTATTGAGAAAGAAAACAAGAAGAGAGAAAGGCTCGAATAGAGAAGAGAGAGTTACTATTCACTCTCTCAAACTTGGAATTTTATACTATTGAGAGAAATTACAAGTAAGCCCTCATATGGGTGCCCAAATACAAAAGAACAAAAAGGAGAAGAATACCCTTGCACCCAAACAATCTCAATAGACTCCCAGGCTCACTATATAATTTTCTACAAATTCCTTACGAGCATCACATAAATCATCTTTTAATGCATTCCAATAATCTTGATAGAAAGCCATTGTAAAACCAGAGACTATGTTGGGAACATTCTAGTTATTCATCTTGATTGGTAATCACTTGCCCTTCTAATTCTAATTTGGCCACTAGGTTTGCAACATTCTAGTCAAACTACTAACTGACTACCTACTCTCTTTTGCTTCCTAGGTCTCAATCTGAGATTATTACATACATATATATCATGTATTGTATTTGTGGCAGGCAAAAATAATAGAGTTGTTCTTAACTATAATCTATTTGAACAAGATGAACAACTCGGATTAAAATGAATGCACAATTTGTAGAAACACCTGATAGTTTTATGCCAAAACAGAGTAAAACAAATGTGGTCTCTATCATTTGAAAAAAAAATTAATTAATTAGAAAAGTTGCAGCAATATGGCTTTAATGAATGGGTCCTAACATTAGGATGAAGTGAAGCTTCAATTGATCAAACATGTTGTCATGATCAAACCAATAATAAACCATATCAATTAAATAAAAACGTTAGTAGATAAAAATTATTGTCCCTTTGCCAGTGCAGGTCCTTAAAAAGTAATGTTGCAGAACAATTGTTTCACCAGCAAAATGGAATCAAAATATTAAAAGAATGTAATTGAGATATTGTAATTGTTTCTATTAATAAGTAAAAAGACTAGGCCCTAGGCATGTTTGTAATTTAACCTTAGAGGTGGATGCTGTCAGATCAGGGTCATTCATAAATCTGTAAAGGGGATTGGATCACAGGTCAAATGGTATGACAACTGGTTGACCCAGTAAGACATGGCATCATAACAAACATATAAATATATAAATAGTTTAATATATATACATATATATAAATATAATTATATATATTATAGATATAAATGTTTTAAGGCTTAATTATGTTTAATATATTGATAAAGATAAACTATAAAATTTAAGGAGAAAAGTTTAGTCACCAAGGTTAAGAGCATGATAACCAAAAAATAGTCTACCAATACATATTAACTAGTATAAAAAATTAAGTTCAATATACTTTTATGGTATCTCCTAATGAGAAGGGCTTTGTGAACTGCATAGACAGCCCACTTAGAACATTCCCAAGGATGTCTCTAGCAGCAAACGCAGTAGCAACACCTGCACAAAAGATCAGAGACGATGTTCAGATGACTATAAATAAATTTGATAAAAATAAAAAGAAATAATATTAAGAAAGATCACTTTTCTTAGTTTAAAACTAAATATTCATCAACAATTGATTAAAGGAATTCATGTCAATGATTAACATACAATAACAAGCATAAGACTAGCTATGGGTAGAATTTTGCGTGGATGGTTAACAGTGATTGAAATTTTCCCTGATTCAGAAAACTGAATTTAACAAGCTATGGGTAGAATTTTGTGAAGGGCATTGATCTCGTCCTTCATTGCATTTGTCCACTCAGGAATAAATAAAACTTCTGCAACACTTTTGGGAAGGGAAACACTATCAATAGCAGAGAGGAAAGCATGGAAAGAGGATGAAACATTCTCATAGGATAAGGAGTGAGCCATTGGGTGGTGTGTGATGCATGATCTAACACCCTTCCCCTTAGCAATAGGAAGGTCCAGATCACAATTAGAAGTATCAATATCAATGGGTTCAGGGACACTAACTGGAACAATAGTACTTGGATGCAGTGATGGATTCAACTCCTGAGAGTCCGATGGCATAGGTTGCACAGCTTCAGGATGCTCTGTGTCTATTGAACTTTGTTGACCCCAGCCTTGACTTTTGTACCGCTGTATACGAAAGACCCAGAATGGAGGAGGGTTAGGAGGAGAAGGCAACAAAACCTGTCTCTGTTTCTCCTCACTTGAACTTTGCCCCTGAGGAGAAGCAGGGAAGAAAGACACATCTTCAAAGAAAGAAACATCCATGGATACAAAGTACTTTTTGGAAATAGGGTCAAAGAAACGATAACCCTTTTGGGAAAGAGGGTAGCCAAGGAAAACACAAACAATGGCTTTGGGATCTAGCTTCCCGCGGGTAGGAGACAAATCATGGACAGAACATTTACACCCAAAAACACGCATAGGGATAGCAAACAATGGAGTAGTGGGGAAGATGAGCTGATGAGGGGACTCGTATTCCAAGAGAGGAGATGGCGTCCAATTGATAAGATAGGCCGTAGTCATAACAGCATCCACCCAAAATCGTTTGGGAACATTCATGTGTATCAACAACCTCCGAGCAACCTCTAGAAGATGACGATTCTTTCTTTCTACAACCCCATTATGTTGAAGGGTTCTAGCACAAGAGTTACAATGAAGAGAGCCACAAGTATTAAAAAATTCAGTGAGGTCACCATTAAAATACTCTTTGGCATTGTCTGAATGGAAAATTTTAATCTCTGTTTGAAATTGTGTGTATACTATACGTTGGAAGGCTTTCACAAGTTTAGGAACTTCTCGAGAGTGCATAGGGTACACCCCATGTGTATCGAGAGAAGTCATCAATGAAAGATATGAAGTATTTGTAGCCATTCTCTGTTGGAATATTTATAGGTCCCCTAACATCAGAATACACAAAAAGAAACATCTGATCTTTTATTACGTAAAGGAAAAGAAGTTTTACAATGTTTACTTAACTGACACACTTGACATTGAAAATCATTAACTAACACAGACTCAAACAATTCCGGAAGCAAGTACTTTAAAGACTCAAAGGACATATGACCCAAACGACTATGCCATAAAGTAACCTGACTTTTATTTGACTGACTCAAAGACTCTGAGGCCGCAAGACCAACTTTATTCTCCAACACATAAAGACCATTCACCATGTTCCCTTTACCAATCGTCCTTCCGAAGGCCAAATCCTAAAAGACACAAGATTGAGGAAAAAAGGTCACTGAGCAGTTCAAAGAGTGTGTAATGCTACTAATAGATAGTAAATTAATAGGCAGTTTTGGAACATGTAGAACATTGGATAAAGGTAAGCCAAATGGCAAAGATATAGATCCTTGACCAGCAATGGAGGAGAAGGATCCATCGGTTAACCTCACTTTATCTTTGCCAGAAAGAAGGGTGTATGATTGGAAAAATGTTGACTTACCAGTCATGTGATTGGAAACACTAGAATTAATAATCCATGGAGATTTGGAGGTATCAGTAGACACATGGAATGTAGAAGCTAAGTTACCTGAGGTAGAAGCAAAGGAGGTTGAAGGAGTGGGTCCAGAATTTGCTTGTGTGAGAGAGCCCTACCATATTGCTCCAAATGGTAACAGAAGGCAGAGAAAATATTTTCCTTGAGATCAGACCTAGGGGGCAATCCTGAGAGTTCACAGTAGTTCCTCCACTCTACGACTCATGAGAGGCCAAGTTAGCCGAGGTGAACCTCTTCTAATTTGGTTTCTTGTTCTGATCTTGAGCTGATTTCTTATTTAGGTCTTGTGCCCACTTCGGATTTCTATGAAATTCCCAACATGTCTCTCATGTGTGTCGGGATTTCTGACAATGAGTGCAACGCAATTTATATTTATCATCAACCCTTTTCTGACCATCTCCCTTTCATGCTGAATTGGTATTATTTCTTGCAGCTAAAGCAATGGTCTCCCCCTCGGGGGGATTCATGGCAGATTTTCTACTTTCCTCAAATTGAGCCGAAGCATACACCTCTTGGACAAAAGGAAGGTCCTTACCATCCAAAATTTGAACTCGAATGGGTTCATACATTGGATTAAGCCCTAACAAAAAAGCAAACACCCGTTGCTGTGACACTAACTATTTGTAAGCTTTGGCATCCTTTGCATTCTCCCAGTCACTGTTCTGATAGTAATCTAACTCTTTCCAGATAGATGTAAGGGTAGAGTGGTAGGTGGATAAGCTTCTTTCCCCTTGTTTACATGTTGCAGACTCGACTTGCAATTGATAGATTCTAGCATAGTGTCTCTGCTCGAAGTAAGTTGACCTTGCTTGTTCCCAAATTTCCTTGGCTGTCTCAGCCCACATAAAATTCTACTTAACTGATGGTAGCATAGTAGTCAAAAGCCATGATATAATCATGGAGTTTTCTTGGTCCCATTTATCATATTCAGCAGTACCAGTCCTAGGTTCCTTCACTTTTCCATTGATATACCCTGCCTTACCCCGGGCTGTGATGTAAAACCCCATCTCCTTAGACCATGTCAAATAATTTATGCCATCTAAGGGAATAATGGTTGTTGGAAAGTTCATAGAGTCAAGACTGCTGTTCATTCCTCCTTGGTTAAAAGAGGTTCCAGAAGTTGCAGTCTTCAGAGGCTATAACAAAGGCTGCTAGCAGAAGTTTCAGACCTACAACCCTCCTCCCGCAGTCCACACACTCACAAACACACAACCCCCACTGTAAGATTTAAGGTCAAATTGCAATCACAGTAACACAGCACCTGCTGTCACAGATTTACAGGTCTAACTGACCTCACAATGGTTGTAGTCACAGTAACACAGCACCTGCTGTCACAGATTTATAGGTCTAACTGACCTCACAAGGGCTAGTTTAAGCCACACATAACATCTACACTTCTGCTGATGTATTTCTTCATCTGAACCAGGTCACACATGACCTACACAGGTTCTTCACCCACACAGTTTTGGATCACAGACCCACAGAAGTCATTAAACACGCCTACACCATTTGGCTAGGGCAGATTTTAGGATGTTCTTGGTAACAATACCAAGAGCCAATGATAAAAAATCACTTCGGTCTAGGTTCCTGATCAGTTCAACTGATTTTTGGAAGTTACAGTCCAGAGAAGAATGGGAGAGAAGAAGAAAAACAGCCATTGACCTCTAGAAAAACTCAGTCAATCATCCGCCAATCTCTGAGTGTGATTTTCTTTTCAGTTTCTGTTTAAAAAATAATAGAATAGGGTCCAGCAACAGTTCTCAGTGCAAGGTCGAACCAGTTTTCTCATTCTCAGTCCAGGTATGTGATTTGTAAGATCTTTGATCAGATAAAAACACCTTTTACAGAGTGCTGTCCAGCTCTGATACCATGATTTCGATCAAGAGTGAAGAAGAGAAGAGAAGAGAGGGAAGAGAAGAGAAAATTGAGATTGAAAAGATTATAGCTGGTAGTGCCAGGCTTTTGTACTTATATGTTAGGGTGACAACATAAGAAATAAAAATAAATGAAAAGACAAAAGTACCCTTGCGGCACATGACTAAGATTACATCAATTTCCTCCAGACTCCCCCCAGCATCCTCACTATAAACGGCAGTCCAACCAGTTTTAGCAGGAAGCTACCAGAGAACTGCTCCACCTCATTACACAGCGGCTTCCAATTCTGAACTTGGACCAGCCCCTCTTCATATTCGAAAGTCGTGAAGCCCCGTTTTACTTCATCATCAATGAGTAGAATCACCTTCCTGTCTGAGAATGGTTTTAAGGCTACCTCAGCTTTTAGTTCCAATTTATTCTTTGCTGTATCTAACAATTTCCTCCAATCTTTAACCTCTCTGTTAACTGTTATAACCAACCTCCACTCCCACACACTCTGCTCAACCTCAATCACCATCTTCTTTGTCATGTTGTCATGTTTGAACTTACAACCGCTCCACCCCGAAGAGTTGAGGTCTATTTTTCTTTCTCCTCATCATTTGCACTGCTCGGCACCTGGTTCTGAATATGCTCCAGACTGTCTTCTGAGGTTGGTTCTTGTTCTTCCTTTTAAGTCCTGTCTGCAGAGACAAGGAACTGTTGTAGCTTCTCTGTGAATAATATCCAACCCTGTGACTGCTTCCCTTCCGGTATGCATACCATCTATTTCCTATCAGTAAAGTATTCTGTAACAGCAATAAACCATCCTTTTCCATTCCTCCTTAACTCAACTTCATATCTTTTTCTTAGCACCTCCAAAGAGCTTCTCATCCTGCTGCCCTGATGGAGTTGATTATGCCGTCAATGAACCCTTTCAACCATAGCACGGCTTCCTTGTGTAATAGAACCATCACCTTCCTATCCTCTCTTATTTTTAGCAGGTTTCTACCTCTGGCCCTTCCAAGTTCCAACAGCAATCTTTTTGCTTCGAAGTCCAATTCAAGTTTCCATCTGTTCACTGTCTGGAAATCTTCGTCACTTTGCCCTTTCTCTCCTCTCTCCATCTTCGTCT